GGGTCAATGGAGATCAACATGGATCTCAGATCTGGCGAAAATATGACCTTGGACGAGCTTGTATCTACAATCTTGTCGACGTGACCAGACTCCAACGACCATAACTTCGTCTTCCCATCTGTGTGACGGGATATCAGTCGTTCGTCTACACAAGAGGGACCAATCAAGCATTCGGATGCGTTGGTTGATTGGACCTCTGGCTGGAAGACTCCTTCATGCTTGGCAGCTTGGTGGATCATGGACATTAATCCGATACGGACATAACCCTTGTCTGCAACGAATAGTAACCTCCCGTCCCTTGAGAAGGACAGAGTGGGTTCATGGCCCCGCAAGAAAGGATACTTCACAGACCGATAGACCTTGCCTGTTTCTAGAGACCAAATCGATATTGCCTCGTCGTTGCCTCCAGATTCTGTGGTGCCTGCTGCAGGAAAGCCAGATGCTATGAACTTTGCATCGTGAGAGATGGCGATTTGACCCTTTCCAGTTCGGCTTTCCTGAAAGACAGAACAGCATTGACCTGTACGAAGATTGTGTGTCTTGATAACTCCCTGTGCGTCTTTCACAGCAACGAAATTGCTCGATCCAGTAGGCGTCTTCAAAGAAATGATAGAGACTTCGTTCCTAATCGAGTACGAACATTCTCCTGTTTTCGTGCTCCATATGTAAATATCTCGTCCAAAAGAGGTTGCCACCAGCTCATCTCCATGCAAGAAAGAAGAACAGCAGTTGCTCAGAACTGCAGGCCGGGTTTTTTTGCGTGAAAATATGCGAAGTTGCTTGCCAGTGGACATAGACCACAACATGGCTTTGCCGGTTGAGTGTGCCGAAACGATCATCTCAGAGTTCTTTGACACATCTAGGTTGGTAAGACGGTTACTTCTGAAATTGATTCGGAGTAACACTGCGCCTGTGTCCGTTCTATTCACAAGAATATCGGAGTAGGTTCCTGAAACCAACATTGCTGAATCCTCTGAAAAAACAAGTGACACAACCACACGATTTCTCTGATCTAAACGCAGCCGCCAATAACTGTCGAGCAAAATGCGCAGCAGCCGGTCGCCAGTGGAAACCGACCTCAGTGAAATTTCAAATCGTTCCTTAGTGTTTACTGTGCTTGCAAATTGCAAACCGTTAGGAGATAAAGCAAAACTATCTACCTCCGACTGCAGTTGGTTATCGGGGTTGATCTGAAATGAACGCATCCAAGGAGTCCAATGAGACTCGGTAGATGGGTAAGACGTGATGAAGTGCGGAATTTTGTCTATGTATGTTTTTCGAACGATACTTTCTGTGGGCGAAAATGCAAGCGCCGATATGTAAAGTTGGAGTGGCGTTTGAGCAAAAGAAGCAATGTTATGATTGATGAATAGTTGTGCGTCTTCTAAAAAGTGCAACAGTTTCTTTCCATTGAGGTCCTTTTGTCCGTCAGCGAGTGAAAGTCTACATCTAGGATGTTGCAGTCTTACGTCTACCAGCCTTTTCAACTGGTCAGGAATTTCAAGTGCCCTTGTCACTTCTCCCAAGATACTTAGTACCTCAAGCCAATGAAGAAGATGCGTCTGAAGGAATCGATGCGTATTGTCATCATCTTTTAGACGGACTTTCGATTGAATAAGATGAGAAGACCAGTGAATACAAGCATATTGCAATGATGGGGGTAAGCACGAATCTACGACTTGCTTGCCAATGCTTGAACGTGAGTCTCCGGGGCGAAGGTGACACATGTTCTTGCGCAGTTGCAGTCTGTCCTCGTTCGTAAGAAGGTCCAGGCAATCGTACGAGATCTTCAGATGCCTTGCTTCCGGATTGATCAAGAACGGCCTTGGTGCTGAGTCGAGTAAGAAATCACGGAAAGATTGGTGAAAAAGGCGAACCGGGGAGTCTGTGCTCGAAGGTATGTCAAGCACTGATCTTAGAGGCCTGAGAGTAGAAACGATGTATTTCTTGTCGACGTTGAACAGAGCCTGTATTGAAGAGACGGACAATGGTTCTTCGAGTAGGACGAGAATCCCCACCACGTATTGGAATCTTTCTAGAGCTTTGTTGCCATCTGCGTTCTTGGTGTTGTAACGCTCAAACTTTGCTAACACTGGAAGGTACGTCGCGACGAGTTTCTCGGTAGAGTCGTTGCCGAAAGCGTTTTCTTGCAGCATGAAGTCGTCAAGTTGCTCTTGAGGGCTTCTCAGCTCATCGTCTTGAAGAAAACGACATATGGTTGCAGCGAAAATAAAAAGAGGGGTAGCCATTTGTACGAGTCTCGTGATATTCGTCTTCCCCGGCCAATCCGGGGCTACTTTTTCAAGAAGGGCCTCGTTATCGCATACCAGGTTCCAGTCATGTCCAATTCTAGAAAGTTCATGAGTGAGAAAGAGTTCCAGGTCTTGATTGACGACATCTTGGGTAACTTCTTGCAGAATGATTTCGCGGTACTTTTCGCCGATAGGGTGGAATGCGAATTCTATATCAGTTTCCGGGCGGCTAGTAATAAAAACTTTGAGCCCTGAAAACTCGGAGTCTGCAAGCTCGGAAAGCATTGAGACAAGACTTCTAACATCGGTTAGGCCTACACATTCGTCCAGTGCATCAACCACTATGATGCACGTGGGTCGACTGCCTAAGTCAGGCTTGGCTTTGTTAAGCGGTCCGAGAAGGAGCTTTTCGAACTGCTTCCTCATGCTCTTGGAGGAAATGAGGACCGTTTCTTTGATTGCATCTAAAATGTGCGACAATAGCTCGCGACGATGCTCTGCTAGCTGTCGTGCAATCGTGCTAAAGAACAAGCCAGCTCTGCTGCGCTCGCCCTCGCCTCTCTTGAAAAAGAAAGTTGCTCCGAGGATTTTCATGTCGTCGAAGGTCTCAGCAATTGTACGAGATATTGTTGATTTTCCTGTGCCGGCTTTGCCGTTCAGCCAGTAAATACGCCGATCGCTGGAGTCCTTCGCCCAGAGTTCAATGTGCTGAAGGAGGGCTACTCTGGTGCCTTCAAGACATGTTGGTTCGTTTTGATTGCGGTATTCATCGTATATAGCACCCTCAGCAATAGACAGCATGTTGATGGTGTCCCAATCAACGTGTTGTCTAGTATAAGATGTGTCTTGATTAATTGCCTGGGCTAAGAACGTTAGAGACTCTAAATCAGCCGCGAGCTATGATGAGACTTGCTTACTTATAGAAACAAGGTTTCCCAGTCTATCCCCTTCCTCAAGCTTTGCCTGTTGAACACGACATATGATCGCCTTGGCATATGCGGCAGCAGTCATAGCAGCATATCCTTGCCAGACTTTGTTTTTGTGAGAGTCGGAATAGTCGCAGATACCCCTCACAACCAAGCACGGGAAGTGATTCATCAGACCCGCAGCCTCCATCTCGAAACACAGCACCCCTTTATCCGCCGCAAGCTTATCCCGCACATTCGCATCTTTCATGAGATTATTTGCAGATGCAATTAAACCGTAATGAACTTCGGGGTTGTCGTCATCTTCGTCACGCTCCAGACGCAAAACGACCGTGTTCGGTCCTGAATCTGTAATGGGCTTGCTCGGATCAAAGACGACATGGCTGCGGTAGAGTATGTCCGTATCAGGACTTGGACGGCCATACTTCTTTCTTATCCGTGGCAGATTGGCTGCCAAAGCAGTGGCCACGGTTTGCTCGATACCGTTACCTTTTCTTTCGAAATCAGCTTTAAGACCGGCAACGGCTGCCCTGAGTGCTGGCGGGGGCTGATTAAGGAACCTTGTCTCTTGGAAAGTTCGATTTTGTATTGTTTTACCAAAATCGTATTGAAAGACGCCGCCATAACCGTCGTGGGGAGAGCTGACTACGACATCTCCAAGTCGGATATCGTGCATAGCGCTTGGTGCACCGCCTCCAATTCCCACCATCAAGCCAGCTCTGACATTCGGAAAACTGTGCAGCAAGTTTAGAGAAACTACTGCCGCTGAACTCAGACCGTATTCGCCATCTGGCAGAACAGCGATGACGACATTGTGCGCGCCTATTCGACCAAGGCTGTATTCGTTGCTATCGTGAGGTGCGACTTTGCTGGGTGGCTGATGTTCTTCGTCAAGGAAACACTGAGCAGCCACGTATTCTGTGCTGATGGCGCAGATCCAGCCAATGGTGTATTTTAGAGGATCAGACATCGTAGTTGGCTATTCTCGAGAGGACGTCTAAAGCCATCTAAACCCCAAACGGGTAAGTAATATGGCAGTCGAGAGATAACAAGACACGAGTCATTTAGGCTGCGTCAAACCTATTTGTAAAACGGAGAAAGACAGAAAAAAAGAAAAGAAAAACGGAGAGATTGAGGGGTAATGGAGTATTTCAGTGCTATCAGCTCTGCCTGCAGCCTTGTGTGAGCCCTTGGCATGCAGCACAGCTTATGGGAGATATGTCACAAGCATAATACCGCTGCAGCTTTGATTGGCCCAAAAATGCAGTTCATTGTTAGTGATATGACAGCTCCGGGCCATGAACCAGGCTACATGATCTAGTCATTCATCGAGGCGCTCTAAGCTGACATAGACCACCGCAAACTACATTGCGTTGGATTATCCGACGATCTCTGATTCCCGTAATCTTTTCCGTAACTCAGTCAGCTGGTGTCTTTAATTAAGTACTCTCACCTTTGTCGCGCCGAAGAATACTCACACTTGAAATGCCAATAGACCAAGCAGCCACTGTGCTCTCACTTGCATTCTTCTTCTTCTGGTAAAATATCGATTAAGACATCACCAATGCGCTTCACACTGGAAGAAAATTAAACTGTTCTTGGTTTTCACAAGTTACGCCTGGTGGTCTTTTGTTAAGATGTCTCAACGAGAGATTCAATACTTTAGGTGTGTTGCCTCTAGCCTCCATGGGAACCTTTGAGTATTTCCTTGTCCATTTTTTAATCATTCTACCAAGCTAATTTCCTAAAAGATGGATCAATGATTCCCCGGGCTCGCTGACGAAGACCAGACAATCAAAACCTGTCCAGCTAAAAGATCTTACTACTGATTCTCCCATGGAATTGGCCTGTTTTCTCTTGCCCACATCTTCTCAACCTCACTCCCAAATGGCGGTCCAACGAGGCCATTGATCCTCCAAAGACGCTTTTCTGTCTCGTCGATATGGAACTCCCAGTCGTAACCTTTGTCGGCGACATGCGGCTTCAGGGTTGCATCCACGCCCTCTGATAACTCTCTGTAGGCTTTATCTTCATCGGGGAGTTTGACAGCGACGTGGTCAATCGAGATGCGGATGAATGGTTTCTCCTTCTTCAGCTTCTTGCCGCCAATCCACATGGTGTTCCCAGGCATTTTGATGAAGTTGACGACGACATAGAAGGCAGGCAAGCCAATACTGGTGTAGATTTTTGTGATGTCGGTGGAAAGGGCTTCTTTGCTGGCATCGTCCTCAAACGTGCCATCGGGGTGGTACACCAGCCAAAGGGGCATTTTCGCGGGCGTCTTCTTCCTTTTCCTAATTGTCCCTTGGTTATTTGTTTTTATGTCGGAATGCAGAGATATGGGATTGTAAAATAAGATCTTAAGAATGTAGGATTTTAAGGATTTAAAGTTATGAGATCTGAGGTTAGAAGATGTGAATGGTGACTGAATGTTAAATACTTGACCAGCATGAGCTATCATCTCACACTACTTGATTGCCATAAGAACGTACGACAAGGATGATGATTAATCACCACGGTCCACGCAATACGTGCTGTTTTGTAAGCGTAAGAGCTCCGGCCATGGGATTACTATTCAGAAAATGCTTACCACAACTCAAGTCCCCTCATCTGAGTTGCGACGACAATCTTCTTCCATTGGTCAACTCAAAATGACATAACAAGGCCGATTAAGATTTGTAGTTGCTGCATGACAAATGCACGGCAAAACACACCTAAATTACACGATGAGCCCGAGGTTTACGGTGCGACTGGAATACCACGCAAAAACCTTCTCGAACACGTCAGAGACATAATTAAATATAAAAGGCATCATGTTTGTTGTATTTCGGATGACTCTGATCATCTCCATCTGTGTCACTCAACAAGTAAAACCCCAAACGCCATAATCTAACTTTCCATCATGTCTCAATCCCTCATCTTCATCACTGGTGCAACAGGCTTCATCGGCTGCCATGCCGCGTCCCAAGCACTTGAAGCAGGCTACCATGTCCGCTTGAGCGTGCGCAAAGAGTCTCAGATTAGCGGCCTCAAAGAAATTTTTTCAGAGTACAAGGCGAAACTTGACTTTGTTGTCGTCCCAGACTTGACCAAGTCGGAGTCTTTCACCGAAGCACTCCAGGGCGTTGAATACGTCTTCCATATCGCCTCGCCAATGCCCGGGACAGGATCGGACTTCAAGACAGACTACCTTGCTCCAGCAGAGCAGGGCACTATTGCGCTTCTAGATGCGGCAAAGGCGGTACCCACGATCAAGCGCATTGTCATCACCTCTTCGATACTTGCCCTGCTCCCTCTGGACATTTGGGTCACAGGAAACTACAGCACCAAAGGCAAGCAATTCCTTTCTTTATTCCCCCAAAGCTTTATCACACTTCTTTGACGCTCCTCACTAACGCCTTTGTACAGAGGGGTCTAATCCATCCATCCCCATCGACCCCGACATGGATTTCCCCGACGACCCTTTCGCGAGCGCAGGGTTGAAATACCAAGCCTCCAAGGTCCTCGCTCACCGCTCTGTTCTTGAGTGGGTGCCGAAAAACCAGCCGAACTTCACAGTTGTAACAATCCACCCATCGTTTGTCTTCGGTCGCAACCTCACGCAGACCTCTGCAGATGGTATCGACGGCACCAACGGTATGCTCTGGGAGTCGCTCCACTCCGAGAAGCCTATCGTTCCTATGGTGTCTGTCGATGTTCGGGACGTTGCTTTGGCCCACTTGAGAGCCCTCGATTTGGACTTCAATGGGCAGTCTGCTGTGCAAGAGTTTCTACTCAGCGCCCCAGAGTCTTCTGGGTGGAAGTGGGAACGTGTGATCGAGTTTGTGGGGAGAAAATACCCGGAACTTAACATACAGTTGAAGGGACCATTTGACGAGGCATCAAAGGTGGACGTCAATCGGGCTACCGAGTTGTTAGGTATCCAGTGGAGGAGCATGGAGGACACTGTTTCAAGCTTCCTGGACCACCAACGGGAATTGAAGGCGCAACTATAGAGTGGCATGGATATATGTACATGAGAGGCGCTGACTATTGAGTACTACTTTATTACCACATGGACTGAGTGCCGGCCTATGCTTGCGGTACAAACCGTCTAGTACGATGATCAGGTAGCAGAAGTTTTAGTCAACGATGATAATGAAATAGCTGACGAAGTTGTTGAATCCGTATCCGAGTGATCAACTGGTAACCAAATCTCGGTGCGGGGGCACTCGGCATGGTCTTGGGGTCTGCTCGGTCGCTTCGGGGTGAGGTACATCAATCGTGCCCGGCCGGAACAAACAATAGTATACTGTCAGCTAGTCAAATCCGCTCCCGGCCAGCATGATAGTAACAGCGACCAGAGCCGCCGCCGAGACAATAACTCCAGATCGATCGGCAGTTGTTGTGTTGCCGTCAAAGGGACCCAGTGTCTGGGACTCCCGGTTTGGGACTTAGTCCAGAACGCAACGCGCGGAATTCCCTGGATCAATTCTCGGGCATGTTGGAACGCAAACACGACGTGCAGCTCGATAGAATCAAGAGACGCCTGCCACACGTAATCCTACCACGGTGGACTCCACCATTGTCTGCGTCAATGAGTCCGCCAACGACGCAATCAAGGAGCACGTCGCCATCTACACCGACGGAAGCGCTACCAACGGCCACGTCGGCACAGCGGCGGTAATAAATTAAACCACCATGGGCGCAACGGCTCGAATCGCTTAGGGCACATGGGCACATCCACATCCTCCACGGTGTACGCTGCAAAACTCAAAGGGCTAGTATTGACGCTGCAAATGATTTTCGACTTAAACAAATCGGCTAATGGCCCCAGCAATGCACTATATCTACCGACAACCAAGCCGCTATTTAAGCGCTACAGCGCCCTAAGTGCCCGCCAGGTCAATAAATCCTTATCGAGGCGATGCATGCATAAATAGGCCCGTAGCCGAGGTTTGAGGTTCAATTATGCTGGATCCCGGCGTATGTCGGTGTGCCAGGCAACGAAATGGCAGACTGAGCAGCCAAGGAAGCCGCCGGCTTCAGCCCCAACGCGATGCTTACGCTGCACTACTGCCGGAGCCGGAACACTTGAGGACACTCACGGCAACCACAAAAACCATCATCCGCCAAGAAATGAAAGACGAGTAAGAGGCGTCATGAGGTAAGTCCAGGCACGACAGGGACCTCTACAAGCTCGGGGTACGACCAGGAAAGTCGTCACTGAGCTCACATATCGAGACACACAGAGCGATCAGTTCCGCTATCACACAGAAGCGCACAGGCAAGATTAGTCTACATGGATGTTTCCAAGACATCAATGTGGCCGACACCGACGAGTGCTAATGCGGCGGCGGAAGACAGACGGCCCGTCACATCATCCTCGAATGCCGAAACCGGATAGACGAACGACACCAGATGTAGCCAATCAAACGTCCATGCGCGAACTTCAAGCGCATTGTCTGTAACCCGTCAATGGCGGTTCAGGTAATAAGGTGATCTCGAGGACAGGCATCCTAAAGCAATCCAGGATTGTACCGTCCACAGTGTTTTAATATAAACAGCAAAGACGACCGATGTGACGGTTATCAGACAATTTCATAATAAATATATCAAAATGTGCCTAACAGCAGACTTAAGCAAAAAACTTGGTCTGCTTAGCTCCAGCTTCTCGTACTTAGTTATAATAGGTTTAATGAGATGGCGGTGCCGAAAGCATGATAGTGAATTAATAGCGCGTGGATCAACGAAATCCTTTCTAATGGAGCACACGCATGAATAATGGAATGAAGGTATGTCATGGAATCTACCTGACGTCTATCTTTTTGTCTGCCTCGTATACTGCAAAGAAGTTTATCCAATCTCATGTAGAGTGGGCAACCGGTAACATTCACATACACCAGATCCCTGCCGGATCGGCCAGTCCAGCGGCATCTGAGCCCGGCCCGACTGTTAACTGCTCCGGCTAGATAGGCAGCCCGTGGCCAAATTCCCTTACAACTGTCTTCCTTTCCGTTCATCAGATACCAAGCTATCAGCGATAGTGATTCGAAATGTCTGGCGCTCTTCGTTCCGTGGACTCTAACAGCAACATATGATATGAGATAAACCGTTACTCTTCACCTTGAACTAATAGACAAGTTGCCCAGTTCCTAAATTTCTATGATTTCTAGCAGGTATTTTCAGCGATGCAAAGGCTTTTTAACAGACACGCAACGTTTGCAAAGTAGACGGACGGCCATGTGTCCCGATGACCGCAATCGAATCGCTCTGTTGTAGAAGCTGGTCTGTTAGATATCACCTCTATCTTGTGAGTCATTGGCCCTTTGATCTAGGCATTCCCGGTCCGGTTCTTTGCAGGCCCTGTCGTAATGGAGATTGAGAGCAAGGTAATTGCGCATCGGGGTTTGACGCCGGGCCGGTTGCCCCACTTTCAGCTAGTCCGTAAAAGTAATTAAAGTAGAGAGATGTCGTGCTTCGAAGGATTGACCTTCCACAATCGCCGGATGAGTCACCAAGTCATTGTCAACAGCTCCAAACAACTAAAACCATCTGTGAATACCATCCGAAAACTTGGCAACATCGGAAGGAAGAGAACCCTCATTGTTGCAGCTTCTATTACTTCAACAATGGATCCTCCTGTTGGCCCCTCGGTACCGTCCGGACCGGCAACGGCCCCATCTCATACCCCGCTTCACGGGCGGTATACGTCGCTTGTCCCTCTCGAAGCAATGCATTCGCAAGCCATCTTCAAGCATCTCGGGCGCGAAGAAAATGCTCATCGCTGGGCCTACCTGTTCAACGAGCCGTTTCTCGAGTATGAGCAATGCGAGACTGCCGTCACCCAATGGAGCGCCTCAAAGGACCCTTTGTACTTTGCCGTCCTGTCAGGCCCCGCGTCGGACCCGTCGTCCGAACCAGTGGGCATTATGTCGTACTTATCCATTGTTCCCAGCCACAGGCGCATTGAAATCGGCTGCATTATTTTTAGCGAGCAGCTCAAGCAGACTCGGGCTGCTACGGAAGCCCAATACCTCCTGATGAAAAATGCCTTTGAAAATTTAGGGAACTTTCGGCTTGAGTGGAAGGCTAACCACCTCAACAAGCCCAGCTTGGCGGCTGCAGAGCGCCTTGGCTACGTATATGAGGGTATCTTCAGGTGAAATATTGCTATGTTCAGTGAACGAGGGGAATCGACTGACGCTTTTCAGAAAACACATGGTCATTAAGGGCAGACGCAGAGACACGGCCTGGTTCAGTATCACCGACGAAGAGTGGCCATTTGTCAAGGGCGGCCTGGAGGCTTGGTTGAGCGAAGACAACTTTGATGCAAACGGCAAACAGCGAAATGGCCTGAAGCAATGCAGAGAGTCATACAAGGAGAGAGACAAGTCATAGGAGACTTTTGATATTGCGAAGCTCGGAGTGTTTGATAGGAGTAATATCCAGGAAGGGGGCTTGGCAACACGCAAGGCGTTATTGGGCGATAGAACCTGAAGCGTTTGGGAATGCTGCTCAAAATGGGAGAAGAGAAATGGGGTATCGAGCCAGCGCACGCGTATTGATCAGCAGCAACTGTCGAGGAATAGCATAGACGGATATGCACTTAACACCTACCTCAGTTTGAGCTCGCCAGCAATACCACCGAAGCAATCCACGGAAATGCGTCATGACCTCAGCGGCCGGAGCTTGGCCCTGGTGACTTTGCAGTTTCCCCGCATTCTCAAAAGTGCCAATCTGGATACGATCGGTAGTGCGCAACATAAATTAAACGAAGGATCCTCTGAATAGAGCTTCCAGAAGCGCCGGTCGCACGGAAAAGTATCCTACCGCCGCTCGTGGTCTCGTCTCTGCCCCCCGGCGGTCACGGATAGCTTTCTGCGACTAGACACTGATGGATGTTCGGATGCAGCATTTCCACCAACACTCCGGGGTCGAAGGGGCTAGGTTTAATCTGGATGTGCTTTAAATCTAGAGTTAAAGAGAACTTCATCCAGATCTCCAGTCAATGATGGTTCACAGAATGAAAAGTTCAGTTATCCCAAAGATCTACCCGTATGCCCCCAAGATGCGATTTAGACATGTGATTTCGGTCATTGCCCTCTTCGGAGTCAGCCAGGCAGAGAACTCAACCTTTCAGAACCCCATCATCAGCGGCTTCAACCCAGATCCCAGCTGTATCTTCGTCCCCGAGCTGAACAACACTTTCTTCTGCGCGACATCGAGCTTCCTCGCCTTCCCCGGCCTCCCTATCCACGCCAGTCGAGACTTGGTACACTGGAAACACGTCTCTAACGCCTTCAGCCGCGCAGACCAACTCCCAGGACTGGCCTTCTTGCCAAAGGCAACTAGCGGCATCTACGCACCGACGCTACGCTTCCATGAGGGCGTGTTCTATCTTCTCTGCACGCTCGTCAACCAACAACTCCCCAGAACCAACGACAGTCGATGGGATAACTTCGTTCTCGCCTCGACGGACCCTTACAGTTCGGACGCTTGGTCTGATCCGGTGCACTTCAGCTTCCCTGGCTTCGACCCGTCACCTTTCTGGGATGATGACGGGAAGACCTACGTGTCCGGTGCGCACACAGCTGCCTACTACCCTGGCATCATGCATGCGCCACTCGACCTGGAGACCGGTGAGACCGGAGACATCATCATGCCCTGGAATGGCACCGGCGGACGATCCCCGGAGGCTCCTCACATCTGGAAGCGAGACGGATATTATTACCTCCTCCTTGCCGAAGGTGGCACTCGCGAGAACCACATGGTTACAATGGCTCGATCCCGAAGCATTGAAGGACCCTATGATCCTGCGCCGGCAAACCCACTCCTGACTTCGGCGAACAACACGAGTTCCTACTTCCAAGCCGTTGGACACGCCGACCTCTTCGAAGATGCCGCAGGTCAGTGGTGGGCTGTCGCACTAGCAGTCCGTGCCGGTGGCTCCTATGGCGAAGACCCTGGCGCATACTTTGGCAACTTGCCAATGGGTCGAGAAACCGTGCTTACTCCTGTAACGTGGGAAGAGGGCGAGTTTCCAGTGTTCACGCCCGTCACCGGCGATGTCTCTGGCTGGCCACTCCCGCCGGAATCCATCCCGGAAGAGGGAGAAGGACAACTCAACGATGCAGACGACGACATCAACTTCCCGCCCGGAAGCAGTATGCCCATCCACTTCATCCACTGGCGCTTTCCAAAGACAAGGAACTACGCCATATCACCCCCGGGACACTGGAACACCCTGGCACTCAAGTCCTCTGTTCTCAACCTCACGGGGTTTGACGCAGACTTTGCCCTAGGGCGCGGCCAGACCTTCATCGGACGACGGATGGCCCATTCGCTCTTCCGATACCGCGTTGATGTAGAATGGGCCAAGTCTCTGACCAAAGAGGAGATGGAAGTCGGTGTCTCAATTATCCAGGACCAAGCCCAGCATTTCGACCTGGGCATCGTCATGCTCAAGCCCGATGGAGGTGAGGACCTTCGGCCGCATCTTCGGTTCCGTGGTATTTCGGAGACGCCATATCGTGCGACAGAGAACCCGCCAAGAGAAGTATTCCCGCTCCCCGAGGGTTGGGCGGGAAAGAAGATTTCTCTGCAGATTGAGGCGGTTAACAGTACTCATTTTGCATTCTCAGCTGGTCTTGCTGGCCCTGCAGAGGAGACTGAGCTCAGGGTCTTTGGTCATTGCAAGGGGACCGAGCTGGTCCCCTACTATTCTGGTGAGTAATACTTGCCGTACGTGGCGAAACTGATCATTTCGCGTTAACGAGATCTAGGTGTCGTGGTCGGCGTCTTCGCAACCTCCAATGGAAAGCATGGGGAACAAGCCTTCGAAACTTATATCTCTAACTGGCAATACACAGGGATCAGACAGCTGAGGAGTCAGCAGGATGTTAATGATGCTGATGGCGCGTAGATAGATATGAGTGTTTGCAGTGCCCCGTAGCAGAGTTTTCTATGAGAGTTCTCTTGGTTTCAACATCTTTTTCATGGAATTTGGGTATTTCTCCCCGGTCTTCAGACGTCAGATGGTGGAATGTCACATCTTGTAAGTCTGAGCTTGCAGTGTGTTTATTTGTAAACTGAATATTGTGAACATGTCGCGAGACTGGCGGATCTGCTCAGTCCTTTTTGTCTCCGAGATACGATTGATATGTGATGTCAAGGGAGTGTCCATGTTTTCCGGTTGAACAGGCAATTACAAGGCTTATATCAATATTAATGATCAAGATGATTCACTCTGTCAACCACAGATCTGGTAACCAAAGAATGGTTCCCAAGAATCCCTGTTTCGCCATACCTCGGCAACTCAAACTGGGCCTTCATGTAATTAGCTGGGTAGACGTGATCGACCAAATCGAACTGCAGAATGTTAGTCAAAGCGGGGGACCCTGGACCCTGAAACCGCAAATGTCACCCTGCGACCGGTATCGTTGGCGAACAGGTCCTGAGCTTCGGGACGGTCGGACGCCAAGGGTGAAACGCCAAACTCTAACAGCGCGGTATAAAAGCACACGTGCTTGCAAATCACGATCCAACAAGCTCCAACAATCTAACCGATGCTTCATCGGAGCTGCCTATGAGATAATCATTTAGTAAAAGTATTCCAATCAAACACACGTAGACAACATGGCGACAGCACTCATGATGGGCGGGTGCAACTTCCAGCCAGACACTGACATTCCAGACCTTGCCGGCAAAGTCGTCCTCGTCACGGGCGGAAACGCCGGCCTCGGTCTGGAGACGATCCGCCAGATCGCCAAGCACAACCCCGCGCAAATCTACCTGGCGGGCCGCTCCAAGGAAAAGGGAGAGGCCGCCATTGAGGCCCTGAAGAAGGAAAACGCCAGCCTTGCCCCAATCTCGTATCTCCCGTTGGACCTCGCCTCGTTTGAGAGTGTCAAGTCCGCAGCGAAGCAGTTCACAGCGTCCTCGACGCGCCTTGATCTCCTCATCAACAATGCCGGAATCATGTCCACGCCCGAGGGCCTCACAAAAGAGGGCTACGAGATCCAGTTCGGCACAAACCATATGGGCCACGCGCTGTTTACCCAGCTTCTCCTGCCCACCCTCAAGAAGACCGCCGTCGAGAACCCCGACGTGCGCGTCGTCTTCCTCTCCTCGGCCGCCGAGGGCTGGGCCCCCAAGGGCACGTACCAGTTCGACAAGCTCAAGACCAAGATGCCCGAGACGGCAAGCCGGTTCCGCTACGGCATCTCCAAGGTCGCTAACATCCACTACGCTGCCGCGCTCGCGGAGCGCAACCCAGAGATGAAGATCGTTAGCGTCCACCCTGGTGTCGTCGACACCAACCTTGCGGAGGCCCTCATCAACAACTCCAACATGCTGCTGGGCACGCTCGTCTGGATAGGCACAAAAATTGTGGCCGTGAGCCCGCAAAAGGGCGCGCTGAACCAGCTCTGGGCGTCGTTCCACCCGGACGTCAAGACGGGGACGTTTTATTTCCCCGTCGGCGTTGCGGGCAAGGGGACGAAGTTGAGCCAGGACAACGAGAAGAAGGAGCAGCTGTGGAAGTGGACCGAGGACGAGCTCCAAAGTCACTTGTAACTGGGATGACGTCCGGTTGGGATGTGATATCCACTTGCGGTGAGCGGAAAAACGAGATTGAGACACCTCGCCGAAAAATGACACCGAAACGAACAAGCTATTCGTACATTTGCTTTAGTTATTAGCGTAATGCAGAGACGGAAATAAAGTACGCCCAAGTCCGGCAGTTTCATGTATGTTGATTCTCCATGGCCAGGCTCCGTCGTGTAAGCGTCGATGTTCCTGCATGAGCGCGATACCAAGACGGTTTTTGTTGCCGGCCATATTGCACCGTGAGGTGTCCGACTTGCTTGAGTCGGCTAGGGCCAACGGTTAGCTCCTCCATGAATCAGCAGCTTCCGGCGCTAGAGGCCACCAAAAGCAGGCAAAGTCAGAGACTAGAGGATCCATCAAAGTGTTCCCACTGCAAGACGGATATTATTTCACCATCATCTCCTCTTCTCGGCAGACCTTCTTCAAGCTCTTCCCCTCCAGACTTGACCAAACAACACGCTGTCAAGTTTCTAACTATAAGATGAGTCGAAGCAACAGTGGCGAGCTCATGCCCCTTGAGCCTCACATCCCACTAACAGGGCAAGTTTACGCGTAATTCCGTATCCGCCAAAATGGGAGGCTCTGGCCCCACAAGGCGGACGGCTCGTCGGCCGCTTAGCGTCCTTGGTCGCAATTAGGGCTTTAAGGTTAATCATACTCTCGGGTGATGTCCGGGCTCTCCGGTAGGAGGTTCGTCGCAAAATCCTTAAGAAGACGTCAGAGAAACGAGTGAAGTTTGCGGGTGTGTCTGTGTCTAGTTGAGACATTCCAACGGCGTGTACAGCGTCCAGTTGTGAAAAACGATTGTTGCTTCGGAAGACGTTACTAGAGCTGTAAAGGTCTTCTTACCAACCCACCTCGACTATTGCACACAACAACCCTGCCAGTGGAATCCTTCTTGTGGAAACCTCCTTTTGCACATGCCTCAAATGGGTCGGCTGCATCAACTGGTGGATAAACAGGCTCATTCTTCTGGGTCCGGAGGTCCATGATCGGATAGATCGGCAGAATCAAGCCTAAGCCAAGACGTAGCCAAGATGACACTGGAGATTGGGGACAGCCTGAAATGGCCGTTTTTCACAGCGGACCACGCGTCTCGGCCGGTAGGACGGGCTCTTTCACAGTAGTCTAGACGGCATGGAAGCGTTCGTGTCTCGGTATTCTACTGTGGCCACTTACACTAGCTCTGAAGAATCTCGGAACGTCAGCCCTGCCATCCCAACGACCCGGCATGATCCCATTGTCGCGCTTCGTCTGGTATCCTGCTCCCCACTTGGCTAGCGCGCCGACTTCACAGAGTCCGAGATTTGAACGATTCAATACAGAGTGGATTTAATTAGGATTCTTCGGAAATCGGGAATAGGTTCCGGCGCTACACTGCTAGATTAAAGGTGGTTTGGGATATCATGGGCTCCTCCTAGATCCTCCGGGAGACTGGGGAGATGGACAACAACGGTGCCGGTTATCCGATATGGGAGCCGCACCTCATCACTCGAGAATTGCGGTCTGTCAGCGAGAAAGTCCATGAAAGGGGGATTGAGTTGGATTAACTGGCAACCTCTTATAAAACCCGTCTCTTCTGCCCGCCTCCTTCTCTCACTTCACAATACCCCATTGTGTCTTTTTCCACCCACTCTCTTTTCAACCCACGCTCTTTTACCACCAACTTTAGTCTCTCCTTCGAGCCCCATTTTCTGTACATACTTGACGTATCCCACGTGTTGATCACATACATAACAAGACTTCCGCAACGATGAAGTTCCTCCCCATGATCGCGGGCCTCAGCGCCCTGGCCGCCGCCGCCCCCGCGGACCTCGACACCCGCGCCTCGTGCACCTTCACCGACGCCAAGACGGCCATGGCCAAGAAGACGTCGTGCACCGACATCGTCCTCAATGGCATCAAGGTGCCCGCGGGCGAGACCCTCGACCTTACCGGCCTCAAGGACGGCACGCGCGTCACCTTCAAGGGCACCACCACCTTTGGCTACAAGGAGTGGGAGGGCCCCCTCATCGCCGTCGGCGGCAAAAAGGTCAGCGTCGTCGGCGCCTCGGGCAACTCCATCAACTGCCAGGGCGAGCGCTGGTGGGACGGCAAGGGCGGCAACGGCGGCAAGAAGAAGCCCAAGTTCTTCAAGGTCAAGATTAACGACGGCTCCATCTCCGGCCTCAACGTCAAGAACACCCCCGCCCACGGCTTCAGCATCAACAGCGTCAGCGGCCTCAAGGTGTAAGTCTTTTGGTGCCGGTCCATCTCCCCTTACACCGACTGACCTCCTGCAGCCAGAACATCCTCTTCGACAACAAGGACGGCGACTCCAAGGGCGGCCACAACACCGACGCCTTCGACGTCGGCCAGTCGACGGACGTGACCATCTCGGGCGCCAAGGTCTACAACCAGGACGACTGCCTGGCCATCAACTCGGGCACCGGCATCACCTTTGAGAACGGCTACTGCTACGGCTCCCACGGCCTGTCCATCGGCTCCGTCGGCGGCCGCTCCTCCAACACGGTGCAGAACGTCGTCATCCGCGACTCCACCATTGAAAAGGCCGACAACGGCATCCGCATCAAGACCATTGCCCACGAGACGGGCTCCGTCAAGGGCATCACCTTCGAGAACATCACCCTCAAGAACATCAACAAGAAGGGCATCGTCATCCAGCAGGACTACGAGAACGGCAGCCCCACCGGCAAGCCCACCGCCGGCATCCCCATCACCGACGTCACCGTCAAGAACGTCAAGGGCACCGTCGCTTCCAAGGGCACCAACGTCTACATCCTGTGCGCCAAGGGCGCCTGCTCCAACTGGAAGTGGTCCGGCGTCTCCGTCACCGGCGGCAAGTCAGCCAAGGACTGCTCCAACATCCCCTCCGGCTCGGGCGCCAAGTGCTAGAGAGGTTTCTGGCGGTGTGGAAGAAAGACCGGGAGCGGTGCTTCTGGCTTGGGGAATGCTGCCTCCGGCTGTAAAAGTCGAGAGAAGGCTGGTTATAGTGTGATGGCAGTACGGCCTGCATGGAAGTAGTTCCTTGACCTCGCTCTCGACGGGGTGTGACTTGGCTAGTCATCGTTCGATTCTTAGATACCCTTCGCGGAATACAGTTCAGTTGATATTTTCACATTTGAGGTGAACGTCAGATGCTCAATTCTTCCATGCCGCTCCCCAAGGCATGTTCTGCCAAGACTGACGGGGAGTTAGTCCCTTAGTTGGAACCGCTCAATGTCACTTGGGAGTTTTAGGATGAAGAACCAACTGATTACTTGTTTACCAAGAATAATTGACAGAAAGCCCGGCCGATGTGATTACTATCACTATAGTGAATGACTCCGTTTCTGTACCCATGATTGATGAATCCCAAACTGGGATGGGACGAATGCAAGCAAAGTATCGCGTATGCTATCAATATACCATGCTGTCCAATAAGGGGACAATTGCAACCGTGGAAAAAGCACCGACTCCCGTCATCTCCTTGACCATCACGCGCATCAAGCAGTCTTCATCTCAGTGGCGGTTCCATTCGTCTAAGGTAAAGGTAGTAATACAACCACATGCACACCCATAGCCACCCTTCGAGTGTATGTCCACCTCCCCCATCCGGAATTGCTGCCCGAAGCCTTCGTACAACTCGTTCGGAATGCCGGCGCCCACCGAAATCCGCCTTGTGTCCTGGATGCCCCCAAGACCAAGTCATCTAGGGTCGAGCTCCCGGACCCAAATCTTGAAAATGAAGGAGATAAAAAAGTACAAACAAAAGAAGCTTTTTTGTAAAGTCTAACAAACAAGCCGCAGCACCGTCATAAAAGGCGCGTCCGTCGTCTTGATGCAAATCGCGTGTCCACTCCGACGCCAGGCATATCTCTCGCGCCCAGCAGTATGCCATCCATAAACCATGTTGCTACAATCCATACGACCATTTCTTCCTCAGCTCCAAACGAATCGGTGCTCGTTTGCTGTAATCACTCATCGTTCTATCAGGGCGGCCTTTTGTCGACGCATCAGACCTGCCCATCGGCAACGGCAAGTCTCTGCTTCAAGGTCTTAGCCTTCTTGCCTCCACCAGTGCGTCGTTTCTTCGCTCCCTTCACTTCAGGCTCAGCAACAGGCGTGGCAGTGCCTGAGGTCCCGGCGGCGCCGGCACGGTTGTCATCAAAGTTGCCCTCGCCTGTCAACTGATTAGTGTCGTCCCGCCCATCGTTGGCCGACTGAAACTCACCCTCATGGTACATCTCGTCAAGGCTGATGTCCTCGTTCACTACCCGCTTGCGCTTGGGGGCCTTCTTCTTTTGCGGCTTGTCGAGCTCGCCGCTCTCGAGAAGCTCCCTCTCGCGTTGCTCAATCAGCTCGGCCTGCTCGTCGTCCGCAAGCCACATAGCAATATCGCGGTTGCGGTTCTCGGGAGCGCGACGACCAGAGAAGTCGACACTAGCGCCACCTCCCTGGATGACGACGCGCTGCACCTCTTCCTTCTGCATGGCGCGCTTCCGAATGCGTTCCTCAATCGTTCCCTTAGTGATGAGACGGTACACGGTAACCTGCCTGGTCTGACCCAGTCTGTGGGCTCGGTCCATGGCCTGCGAGTCGATCGTAGGGTTCCAGTCAGAGTCGTAGAAAATGACGGTGTCGGCAGAAGTGAGGTTGATACCGAGACCACCAGCACGGGTCGACAGCAGGAAGATGAAGATTTCGGGCCGCGTCTGGAAGTCGGCGACAGTGTCTCGTCTGTCTTCCAGCTTGGTCGAACCGTCGAGACGGCAGTACTTGTAGTTACGGTACGTCAAGTACTCCTCCATCAGGTCGATCATGCGAGTCATCTGGAAGTAGAGCAGCACGCGATGACCCTCCGCCTTGAGCCGGGTCAGCAACTTGTCGAGCGTGGCCAGTTTGCCACTGTCAGTAACAAAGCGGCGCATTGACGGGACGGCGATGTTGTTGAACTTCTTCTTCTCGTTGTCAGGCGCAGGGAGCAGCTTAGGGGGAGGGAATCGCTCGAAGGGGATCTTCTCGGTGACCAATGCGCGCTCCTCGTGGATGCTCGGGCCGAACAGGCTCTTGCGCATGCTCACGTTGAAGAGAACGCTTTCCGTCTCGAGTGCCGTTCCGCGGCTGCAGCAGCTCACCTCGATGGGTGGCGCCGAGGCACGCGGCCGACCGGCCTGCTCCAGACGTCCCAAGCTGCTGTCAATGTACTCCTCTCGGGCCACATTCATGAGCTTGGCCAGGATGCCCTCCTGAGTGATGTCAGCCAACGGCTTTCGGTTGTTTCGGGCCTTGATGTTGAACAGAGCGTGTGCCGGTGTGAAGTTGATGTCCTCGGGCTCGTCGTAGGCAATGTTCATGAGGGCCAAGCGATCCTTCTTCCGTGACAGCTCGACGGCACGGGAGAAGATGTCCTGGTGGCTGGCCTTGTAGACTTCACTAGGGCTGGCATCGGCGAAGCGCAAGAACGAGAATGCGTCGGATCCCTCGAGACTGTCGCGGATGTGCTCCGGCGAAAAGACGTTCATCATGTGCTGGAGGGTCTTGTTCCGCCAGCCAGCCTTCAGGTTGTCCTTGCTGGCCTTGTGCAGTCTACCGCTCTCAGTCCAGATAAGGCGCGGCAGCTCGTACTCGATCAGGTTGCGCGTAGAGTAGCCCACATTCACCATGTTGCCCTCTCGGATGAAGGAAGCCGTCTCTGCAAAGTAGCCGAACGAGAACGGTGACGTTGTGTCTGCTCTCTCAAACAAGTCGGGGTGGTTGCACACCTTTCGGAACTGCATGACAAGGTTCATGAGTGTTCCCGAGTCGTCGTTGTCGCCCGCGGTCGCCTTCTCGATAAGGTCCATGATGCTGATTTGGTTCCTCAGGTTGCTGTAGATGGCTCTCTGTCTGTAGGTAAGATCGCAGTAGACGTCCTCCTCGATCTTGTCACCCAGCTCCTTCTGCACGTGCTTCTTGACACGACGCAACATGAACGGCTTGAGAATCATGTGCAGACGCTTGAGCTGATCCTCGTTGAGCTTCGTGTTACTCTGGGCGTGCGACTCAATGTCCTTGGAGAACCACTCGCTGAACTCGTCGTGGGAGTCAAAGAGAGACGGCATGATGAAATGGAGCAAGGCCCACAACTCCTGCATGTTGTTCTGAATGGGCGTACCGGTGAGAAGGAGACGGTTACGGCAGTGGAAATTGAGCAGACTCTTCCATCTGGAACTCTGAGAACTCTTGATGGCCTGGGCCTCGTCAAGAATCATGTACTGCCACTTCATTTTCTGGAAGTACGCGACGTCGGACACCACCAGCTGGTACGACGTGACGCAGACATGGAACGAGGCGTCCTTCTTATACGTGGTGTGCTTGCGGTCCCAGAACTTTCGGAGCACCTTTCGGTCACCCGCCGAGCCCCAGTATGGGAGGATCTTGAACTCCGGAACGAACTTTCTGATTTCCTGCTCCCAGTTGTGGAGGGTGGAGGCGGGCGCGACTACCAGGAACGGACCCCAGATGTCGTACTTCTCCGCAAGATAAGCCATGACGGAAATGGACTGAACAGTCTTTCCGAGACCCATCTCGTCGGCGAGAATGCCGTTGATACCCTGCTCGTACAGGTTGGCGAGCCAGTTTAGACCCTTGAGCTGGTACTCTTTGAGCTGGGCATTAATCAACTTGGGCTGCTCGATAGCGACATCGCCCATGCCGGCAGGGTTCTGGAAGTTCATCTCGCCCTCCTCATCCATGTCGGGGCCATCGGGCTCGTTGAACTGTCTGGCCTTTCTCTGCGCCTCGGCAATGGCGTTTTGAGCATTCGCCATAGCTGCTTGGCGCAGAGTCTCCTCGTCCTCTTCTTCGAACGTGAGGTTCTCGAAGTCGGTGACCTTGGCGCCCAGAGGTCCGGTCGGCTCGGCAATGTCCAAATGCTTGTTATGCTCGGTCTCGTTTTTGTTCTCGGCGGCAATCTCCGGGTTATCGGTGCTGCGCTCGACCTCGTCCGTTTTGATCTTCTTGCCGATGAAATGGGAGTACAACTCAGTCTGCGAGATGAGGAAGTTGAGCTTTCTCTTTTGACGAGCGGCTTCGCGCTCAGCTTCTTCCTTGCGGGCGTTCTCAATCTCCTGCTTCTCAGCAGCCTTCCTGAGATCACGCTCCTCGCGCTCGTTGCGCTTCCAGAAGCCCATCATGTCGCGCATGACGCGCTTGGCGCGAGCCTGCTGGTCCTTGGTGCCCTTGTTGGTCCGGAGCTGCCATCTCTTGGCTTCCTTTGACGCGAGAATGGCTGTCTTCTTAAGGTTAGACGCCTTGGTTTGGTACGACTCGGCCGCCATCTTGTAGGTTTTGCTGACGTCCTTGCGGGCGAGGTCGCGCCAAATCTGGTCGTAGATCTGGAGGAAACCCTTGGTCTCGAACTTGGCATCTTTGTTGGGAGGCTCCTCGGGCTTCTCCTCCTTTTTCTCCTTGTCCTTCTTTTTGCCCTTCTTCTCCTTCTTCTCTTTGACGGGCTCGATGATTGTGTCGTCGTCGAGGTCGACTTCGACATCGCCCTCGAGCTCGACATCGGGCTCGTCCAGGTCCTTGTCCTTGTTCTTGTCCTTCTCCTTGTCTTTGTCCTTGGACTTCTTGCTGAACTTGATGCGGATCTTGGACTCTTCCTTGATCGGAAGCTCCTCGCCGGCGTCAATGGCAGCCTGAGCAGCTTCTGCGGCATCCTTCTCGGCCTGCTTCTGCTCCTTGGATTTCTTTGGCCGAGGACCGCTGCGGCCCTTGCCTTTGGGCTTCGTGCCGGGCTCCATGTCAGATGCTTGGAAGGTGGCCATGGTGCCTCCGTCGAGGTTGAGTTCGACCAGGTTACGCGCTGGTCCCTTGATGCCCTTCTGGAGAATCAGCTTCGTTTGCAGAGCCTTCTTGTTAGCTCGCTCTGC